CATTGAGAAGATCTTTCACATGACGGCTTTTACCTCATACGGGTATTCATTTATACCCCAGTATAAAGCATCAATAATATTATTGTGGATAAATTGTTTTGATGAAGGACAAAAAGGCAGTGGGAAGGGTTCGAACTCGGGATCCTATTATCGGAAAGCATGCGCTCTACCAATCTTGACAACCCACATGCACATGAATGTGCATATAGCGCGAATTCCTGAATATACTTGTACAGGAAGTCGGTCAGATGACCCCCTTGATCGACGTTCATGATCACAAATAAAATACTATTCATATATATACAAATAATGTCCCCATAGCCCTGTCTAATCGTGGTTACTACAGTGTCCTCTTGTTTCGGAGTTGCAAAGTGCTAAAATAACGTAGGCATTGTAATAATCACTAAAGCCAATATTAGTTAACTATAATAACTATAATAATTTATGATTAAAAGTTATATTTCAAGTTATATAGCGCCAATTTTTGATGATTAGCGCTTTACAATGATATTATTAGCCCGGTCATAGGAAACAATGCAAGCCAGCGCACATTGTGTGCACCATCTCAACTCCCTGGGGAGCAATCCTCCTAACCGGCTCATGGGCATTGAGAAGATCTTTTACATGAGGGCTTTCACCTCCTACAGGGTATTCATTTAAACACCCCAGTATAGAGCATCAATAATTGTTGATAAATTGTTTTTGATGAAGGACAAAAAGACAGTGGGAAGGGTTCGAACTCGGGCTCCTATTATCGGAAAGCATGCGCTCTACCAATCTTGAAAAGCCACATGCACATGAATGTGCATATAGCGCGAATTCCTGAACATACTTGTACAGGAAGTCGGTCAGATGACCCCCTTGATCGACGTTCATGATCACAAATAAAATACTATTCATATATATACAAATAATGTCCCCATAGCCCTGTCTAATCGTGGTTACTACAGTGTCCTCTTGTTTCGGAGTTGCAAAGTGCTAAAATAACGTAGGCATTGTAATAATATACTAAAGCCAATATTAGTTAACTATAATAACTATAATAATTTATGATTAAAAGTTATATTTCAAGTTATATAGCGCCAATTTTGGATGATTAGCGCTTTACAATGATATTATTAGCCCGGTCATAGGAAACAATGCAAGCCAGCGCACATTGTGTGCACCATCTCAACTCCCTGGGGAGCAATCCTCCTAAGCGGCTCATGGGCATTGAGAAGATCTTTCACATGACGGCTTTTACCTCATACCGGGTCTTCATTCATACACCCCAGTATAAAGCATCAATAATATTATTGTGGATAAATTGTTTTGATGAAGGACAAAAAGGCAGTGGGAAGGGTTCGAACTCGGGATCCTATTATCGGAAAGCGTGCGCTCTACCAATCTTGACAAGCCACATGCACATGAATGTGCATATAGCGCGAATTCCTGAATATACTTGTACAGGAAGTCGGTCAGATGACCCCCTTGATCGACGTTCATGATCACAAATGAAATAGTAATCATATATTTACAAATATTGTCCCCATAGTCCTGTCTAATACTGGTTACAACAGTGCCCTCTTGTTTCGGAGTTGCAAAGTGCTAAAATAACCTAGGCATTGTAATAATAACTAAAACTAATATTAGTTAACTATAATAAGTTATGATTAAAAGTTATGTTTCGATTTATATAGCGCCTAATATGGATGATACGCGCTTTACAATGATATTATTAGCCCGGTCATAGAAAACAACGCAAACCAGCACACATTGTGTGCACCATCTCAACTCCCTGGGGAGCAATCCTTCCAAGCGGCTCATGGGCATTGAGAAGATCGTTCACATAAAGGCTTTCACCTTCTACCGGTTCCCTATTTATACACCTGAGAGCAGCAATAATTATTGTAGCCTATCTGATATGCGTCGAGCTCTATGGCACGTGCACTAATCGCGTTTAAGGAGACTGACATCGGCTGACGCCCGCGCGGATGTCAGTCTCCATAAACGCGATTAGCCACTATATGCCCTTTCAGCTAGAAACCCCCAATATCTCATATTTTCAGACATATTTATACATAGTTTTAATTTAATGCTTTATACGTATACGCATGATGATGTTGAATATATATAACAAGTTCCAATTGGTTTCACAAAGTTACGTCTTTAGCTAGTCTAGCCTAGCTGGAAAATTTGGGTCTTTGGGGGCGTCTGGCGGCTACACCCCACCACTTAAAAAGTTTGGCACAGTCATTCGTTTGTCCTTTAGATATAAATAACAAGTTCCAATTGGTTTCACAAAGTTACCTTTTCAGCTAGCCTAGCCGGGAAAGGTCGGATCAACATCATCCTCATCATGGTCACCATCTTCATCACCCTCACCATCACCATCATATTCTTCCTCATCACCACTACCATTTTCATCCTCAATATCATCATTATCATCACTATCATAATCATTCTTCATATTTCATCATGCCGACATGTTAGTCATAATAAACCAAAGTAGAGAACATGAATGTGCTGAATTTAATATAAAAAGGTTTATTTTGTACGTTTACATGAACTAAAGTTAGATTTTCAAATACACACATCAATTTGTATCTGGTTAGTTCACGAGTATGTAAGTACTAATAAGCCTATGATATTAATTCCATCCATGATAAAATGCCTTACTAAGAGTTCTGGTGTTGGCGGAGGCATAACAACTGTGAACAAGAACGTTGTGGCCCGAATTCACAAAGCAAGGTTTAGCTCAGACCAAGGTTTAAGTTTAAACCTCCTTTTGTTTCGCCAAACCTCCTTTTGTTATTTACAAACCAGGTTTATAAATAACAAAAGGAGGTTTGGCGAAACAAAAGGAGGTTTAAACTTAAACCTTGGTCTGAGCTAAACCTTGCTTTGTGAATTCGGGCCTGTATGTTTAGCTAGATCATTGCAAAAAGCTGGACATTAAACATAACGATTGCTGAGTATGTAAAGTTTGTCTTGCCCCATGTTGTATGAGTTTGTACTTTGTTGGTATTATATTGACAAATGTATTTCGAAAATACTGAAATATGGTTTACTTAGTACAATTACCCGGTAAAGATTAAACTATGTGTTTGTACTACATTTTTATTCTGACATTTTGAACATATATTTATACAAACATTTTCAAGGAGTAATCAATTCAATACACATGCAGTACCAGGGTTGCCAACTTTGAGCCAGAGGTGAGAGTGAGACACTGCGAGGGAGCTAAGCGACTGAGCGGGGGAGGGTGTGGGAGGGGGTGGGAGGGGTGTGTCCCCCTCCTACGGTAGGGAGCTTTTTGCAATTTTGGACTTGAAATTGTGCAATCTGGTGCATATCTAGATATGAAATTGAGGCTTAAGATTAACTATATCTGGGTAAGGGTGTTTATGATTTGATCGACCAGAAATTTGTAATATATTTTTCACGAAGAAAACAAATAATTGACATATGCACCCCAATACACACACATGCAAATATTATTGTATTTAGTGTCATATGCAGTTCCAACATAAACCATATATGCAACATTATGTATGATCCAACAACATACAGCCAAGAATGAGTCCCGAGGGAGCGAAGCAACATAGGGCTGGGGCAGAGCCAGAGGGGGAGGGGGTTACCTCCCTTCCACGGTAAGGAAGATTTTGCATATATACTTGACATGGTGCAATTTGGTGCACGTCATGCCATACATGTGTCAAACGTGAAACAGGAGTTTTCAACAGGAACTGTATTTATCTCCACAGGTCAATCACCAAATAAACTGCACACAGATTGTGATTGAACAATGGTGCAAGCAAATACTAAACAAAATATCTAGGACTTATAAAACTTATAGCTAATATGTAATTTTCATTGTCAATTTTCGAGAACTTGTTCGTGTCAAACCTGAAAGAAATGTTGTCCATACAATATCTTTATGTCAAAACTCCAACATTGTAGTAACATTATGCTAAATCAAATTAAACACATTTAACCCTTACTGTACTGGGGGGGGGGGGGGGGGCCTGGGAGGCCCCCCTCCCCCCTCGACATTTTCGGAGATTGCGCCGCAACCGCTTGGAATTTTGAATTGTCGTTTCATGACTTTTTTCCCTCAAGTCTTACGCACATTTTGATACAATTTTCGTCAAAATCGGATGCGCATGTCATCAAAAAAAAAAAAAAAAAATTAAAATCCATCAAAATTTGCATAGACCAAATAAATTGTCATTATTAATCACATTTAAATAACTTTTTTGTGTTAGAAAAGAAGTTTCATATGAATAATGAGTTTCAACATTCAAAAAGTGGAGTTTGACACGTTTTCTGTAAAATGCATAAAATTAGCGCATTTTGCATAATTAATTAGGCTAACGACAAAAATTTGCATATTCGGAAAAAACTAATTATACCATCTTGTTCCTTACGTAAATATCTACAAACATGCAAATTTTCGTGTTCATCGGACAATCGACGGCCGAGATCATAGGGGGGGGGGGCCTCCCAGGCCTCCCAGGCCCCCCCCCCCCCAGTCAGTGGGTGCTCAAAATAGCCCAGTACAGTAAGGGTTAATGGCTGCTGTGTAGTTTAAGGAAGGGATGATTTCTACACACACGTTTTTCATTTGTAGAATCCAAATACCGGTAACAGGTGTTCGACCTGACATTTTATTTGAATATTGAATTCGTCCCCATCCATCTACGAGAAAATATTCAGACGATGTAAATGGTGGACAATTTTGGTAGAGCTAAGCTTTAGTTACCATAAAACAACAACACTACAATCTAATAGTTATTATTTCACCATGCTTGAAAGTTATAGAAAATTACGAAGACTATGGAAGAAAAATAACCTGTTATCATTCAAAAAGAGCCATTGAAACACAAGAAGGCGCTCTAAAAAAAACATTGGTTTGAACCATTTTTCATACAAAGTTGTGCTTGTGATGTTGTGTTGAAATAATGATGATATAAAGAAATCATCAACAACTTTTTAAAAACCTCTTTTAAAAATGTTTGAAAAGTGTAAGCATTTTATTAATTTTTAGAAAAATCATCTTATAAATTTGGGGCCCAAATTTATTCTGACTGGATATATTTATTGATATTTCAGCTGTTTCTAAATTTCAAATTTAACACTTGATTTTCATTATCTCACAAACAAATTATTTTGTGTAGCACCCACTTTACCAAAACTGAACTACCTCTTTAAGCAATAGGAATTTAAACAAAAAGTGACAATGCTTTCCATTTACTGAAACTTATGGAAAACATACATTTCAATAACATTCAATATGGCCTTGATTATGTTGGTAATGGCTGTCTGTTAGGATCATGCACACCCCTGCTGTAATGTACATGAATTCTGTGGTGCTAGTGGCGACTAATCAAACGAAAGTCCACTCTACTGCTTTCCGCTTGAGGGAAACATCATTACTGGTTGTGCCATAGCAGGTTCTTTCATGGTTTTGAATAGATAGAATCCATTTGCATACCCACTTCAGTATTGATGTCCTTTCTCTGACGCATTGGGGTGATAAACTGTGTGGTTAACCCTATATCCATCGATACCTATAGGGCAAAAGAAAGAAAATGGGCATATCAGTGGCAATTATCAATGCATAAAGATAATACAAATGGTTAGGACTAATCTTCCAATTTGTCTTTTAGACGAAAAAGATTGACCCTGATAAGCACTCTATCAACAACAAAAACATATGCAAACTGGGAAAGGTAAGGCCGATATTCATTTAATCCTAAGAATCGTAAGGGGTTGAGGAGCAAGAGATCATCTTCAGTTGAAAATAATGACTCCGCTATCAAGCCAAAATTAACATGCACTGAATTAATCTGTAAACTCAACTTTGATGGTAATTCATCAACCAGATCCTGAGAAATCATAATTACAAGCTATTTTAGAATGATTACTGTAACCTTGACCTTTGACCTCATGACCCCAAGATTGTACCACTACATTGGCTTCATAAAATTCAGGTACCAGGTGTGATTAAAATCTGACATTCATTTCTTGAGTTTTTACAAATAAAGGCCATTTCGCACCTATAAATTCTGTGACCTTGAACTTTTACCTCATGACCCCAAAATGGTAAGGTACGTAAGTCCCCTAAGATACATTCAGGTACCAAGTTTGATTGAAATCTGATATTCAGTTCTTGAGATTTTGCCATTATAAACAGTCTTAGCATGTATTTATAATATACCGGCAGTCATATGACCTTGACCTTTTGAACTTGTGTCCCCAAATTCTGACCAAATATTTTCCCCTCAAGAGACATACAGGTACAAAACTTGATGATATTTTGTCTAAATAATGTGATCACAGTAATACAATATGTTTGTAAATATATATAAGCCCTGAGACATTTTATCTAAAGGCCTCCAAAATCCAAAAGATACACATATTACTGGTAATGTGTCAACTGGTTCTTATGATATTGTACACCTTAGCAGTTATCATAAAGCCTTGTGACCTTTTATTCCATGATCCGAATATCAATCATATCATTGTCACCCACAATGTGGGAACATAACAAGTTACAAATTGATCCATCAACAGGTGCTCTAAGATATCACAAGACTCTTCATGGGACAAAATCTCTCAAGGGTCCCGACACATGTGATGAGATATATCTGGCAAAATCTTACCCAACATTTAAGGATGTTTCACAGCCTCTTCACAGTGACATGCATCCTGATGCTAAGCTGGTCTAAGTGCTGGTCTAAGTGCTGGTCTAGTATGTGGTTGTTCAAACTGCCTCTCGATCAAATGCTGCACAGGTATGGTACTGTAGTAAACAAATACATGTAAGAAGACAATAATACAAAAATATCAAAACATACACAAAATGGCGTTCTGCATTTATGCATTGCTATCATAAACATAAATAATATTTCCTCTAAGCTATCAAGAAGTATCGGTGAGTTGTATAAATTTAAAAAACTTTTCACATCTCAAGATATTGTGCTATATTTATAACGCGATTATATTAACACATTTAAATTATTGCAATGAAATATGGGGAAATACATACAAAGCTCATTAAAAATGATTCTTGCTCCAGAAACGTGCCATACGTATAATATAAAACAGTAAAATTTGATACCCACTCACTTCCCCTTGTTGTAAAGTTAAAAACTCTTTCCTTGTTTCATCTGGTAAAACTGAATATATTAATTGTTATGTTTAAATTTCATAGGGCTCCCTGAAGTATTTGATAATATGTTTAAGACTAATATTTTTTTCATACATATCCCACAAATCAATCTGTCATCAACTCATCGTCAGCTCAATCGGTAAGGACAGCGTGTTACTAATAGGACTTTGGATTTGACGTGAGGGTTTGAATCTCAGTTTATTCAGTTTTTTGCCTTTATAAATAGTGGGGCAAAGCAATAAATAATCGAAGTCCAATTGTTTGTGACCTCTTTTTATGTATGAAAGTGAGTTCATACTGGAATCTGGGCTCGCTGGGGTACGAAAAAATAAGACCCGGCCTGAAACGACCTAGCCGATTGGCCTTCCTAACATCACAATAAAAGAATTTGCTGAAAATGATGACATTCTGGGAGAAACGAGTCACTGTGTATGGCACCAAGTGATGTGAGGATGATAAGATGCATTTCAGTGTTTTCACAAAATCAAGGAGGGGTACAATTTTTGAAAATCTTACCCTGCATTTGGAGAGGTTTCACAGCCTCTTCACATTGACATGCATCCTGATGCTAAGCTGGTCTAAGTGCTGGTCTAAGTATGTGGTTGTTCAAACAGCCTCACGATCAAATACTGCACAGGTTTGTTACTGTAGTAAAGAAATAAGAAGACATTTATACATAATAACACAAAAATATATCCACAAAATGGCATTCTGCATTCATTGCTATCTTAATATGAGCACTGGTTTCTCTTACAGCACGGAAAGATCAAGATGTTAATTTGACACATGTTCATTGGCTATTACACTGAATTTTAGTTTTTCTAGAAGAATTGATCATGTGTAACCATGTGTCAAATAAACCGTATACACGTCATACAGTAATTTGTTGTAAAATCTGACACAAATTATTGCTGTATTAACCAGGAAAGCAGAGTTCTTTTTCAATGAAACTTTCACACATGACATACGGACATATCTAACAATAGGTGAATAGGTGAATAGGTGAACAGTTCATACTGGAATCTGGGCTCGCTGGGGTACGAAAAAATAAGACCCGGCCTGAAACGACCTAGCCGATTGGCCTTCCTAACAACACAATAAAAGAATTTGCTGACAATGATGACATTCTGGGAGAAACGAGTCACTGTGTATGGCACCAAGTGATGTGAGGATGATAAGATGCATTTCAGTGTTTTCACAAAATCAAGGAGGGGTACAATTTTTGAAAATCTTACCCTGCATTTGGAGAGGTTTCACAGCCTCTTCACATTGACATGCATCCTGATGCTAAGCTGGTCTAAGTGCTGGTCTAAGTACATGTATGTGGTTGTTCAAACAGCCTCACGATCAAATGCTGCACAGGTTTGTTACTGTAGTAAAGAAATAAGAAGACATTTATACATAATAACACAAAAATATATACACAAAATGGCATTCTGCATTCATTGCTATCTTAATATGAGCACTGGTTTCTCTTACAGCACGGAAAGATCAAGATGTTAATTTGACACATGTTCATTGGCTATTACACTGAATTTTAGTTTTTCTAGAAGAATTAATCATGTGTAACCATGTGTCAAATAAACCGTATACACGTCATACAGTAATTTGTTGTAAAATCTGACACAAATTATTGCTGTTTTAACCAGGAAAGCAGAGTTCTTTTTCAATGAAACTTTCATACATCATTCGGGCATATCTAACAATGATTTTGGCATGGGATGAAAGACTCAAATGTCATTTTTGGGCGACTTGAGTCAAATCTTGTCAGTATACCAGGTCTCTACTTTTAACGGAAACACCACCCGTAATCAATAATCTTACAAATGAGTTTTAGTAGTCCAGTCCATTCCACTAATAAGTTCAGAAAAAATAGTTTCCAGACTAATTGTATAATTTGAATACCCATTACAATACTACAGTAATTGTTCATGGGTCTGCAGATAGAGACTAGTCCATTGTCTAGGATGTACGCATCTACCATGCTTTGAATGTATGCAGGTAAGAATTGGCGCACACACAATGTACGTTTACTTTGGGCGCTTGCCTTTGCCAAACTATCTAGCCTTAGCTTGGCAAAAGGGTACGTGTTTCTCAAAAATGGGCCATTTTAGCTTTTTTTCCATTCCCAGGGTTTTCAAGGTCCAAATTGAAATTAAGCAAACTCCCATATGAGCTTAGATTTAGGTTTCCGAGATATCAGGGGCCATATACACCCAATTACATAATTTGTATAGTACTGTATGGTACTGTAGATCTATATATCCACGTCCATGGATTGTTGTTATAACTTAAGCGATTTACATGTTGTGTTGGGACGTATGGGATGCTGGCCTGGATCAACCTTACCTTAAAGGGCAATGAAACTGTGGCTTTCGGTTATTATTATTATTATTATTATTATTGTTTAGAGGGTGAACAGACATTTGATTTAATACATAACTTGGCAATGTTGGCCTCCTGGATCCAATAAATCCTCACGTGAACATAGTAACATACTCACATTTTACTAATTCTTATGGCGGCAAAAGATGATGGGATATAGGCCAAGTTCTTGTAAATTACCTGACATGCTTTGCAAACTCTGACGTACATGTACTGTATGTGCCAATGGTCGAACAGAAAGCTTTTCACTGATTTCAAAGCATCTACAACAAGTATTCAGATTTCAGACGATGGTTTCTTCAAGCATGTACATTGTAGTTGTACAGTGTCAGCCAAGCCCGAGGGCAATTTTTTTAATCAATTGCATGACGCGCAAAATCAGGTCTACAGTACGAGTGGCTTATTAAAGTGCGCGCCTTATGCCCAGGGGGGGGGGGGGATGCACTCAGTCATAGATTCAGACCTAATGTAATAGTATAAGACGGGTATGTGCTGCTACTGCCTGCTAGTACAGTTAACCTTTTAGTTCTACAACCATGCGCGTAGCCAGGTGGGGGCGATCGCCCCCCAAAAAACGCCGGCCAAAAAAAAAAAAAAAAAAAAAAAAAAGAAGAAAGGAAGAGGACGTAGGAAGAAGAAGGATTAAGAGTCGAGAACGGTACAACAAATTGTGTTCTTTCTTTAATAATCTAATTAAAAACGTCAAAGCTTCCGCGCTATGCGCAGAGGAAGGGGAGCTTGATTCAAACAATGATTAAGAGTTGAGCCGAGGACGGTACAACCAATCTTCTTCTTTCTCTAATGAAACGTCAAAAGAAACTGAATTTAGATAAGGATTAAGAGTCGAGTACGGTCCAACGAATCGTCTTCTTTCTCTAATAATTTAATGAAACGTCAAAGCTGCACCCACCCCCCTAGGGAGCCGCTACGCGGGCTTCGCGTGCTCACTAAAATGAAATCCTGGCTACGCGCTTGTCTACAACGGCTAGTGCAACACGGTAACTGCAAGTTTAGCTAGACTAGATCTAGAGACTAGTAGTAGTACTAGATGGATCTAGATCTAGTCTAGTATTGGTTAGTAGTCTATTCCTGTTTTCGACGCCTTTGGCGTCGGCGTCGGAGCTTCCTGGCCATGGATGGAGTTCTATAAAGAATTTAGATCGACAAACCTATCGCTTTCATATGGCCCCTCCTTCATATTTACCGCAGCAGCAGTCTTTCAGTTTGGTCGTTTCTAAATCTAATTCACCACCAAAAAAAACACTAAAATAATAATATTAATAAGAGCCAAAAGCAAAGGCAAAGGAAAAGAGGCCATGCATTGTGATTGTTAACGATAGATTTGTATTGTAGGAGTAGCCTAGAGTCTAGATCTAGATCTAGTTCTAATTTATCCTCCTAGTCTATGATAAACTAACAACACAGGGTAAAGTACATACCAGCCTTCGTCCAGCTCGTCGAGTAAGCTGCCTCGACATCGACGTCGACAGCAATCATGTCGATCCTGCAAAAATGTGCATGCATTCACGACACCGTTTGGCGTCCAGTCTAGTAGCTAGCTAGAGCCGCGAGTCGACCAGCCCGGCTGGCCGGCCCGGCCAAGGAGGCGCGCATCGCAGTCAGATACCCTGGTCGCTCGATCAAGCGAAAATCAATACTGTACGAAAATGTTAGAGTTTTCCTAACCCTAGCCAGCTAGCTAGCCCTAGGCAGCTAACCCTAGATTGTTCACATCTCAACGCAAGTTGGCGCTTTTTGCCTTTGAAATCGAGAGTCCGTCATGATCTTTGGGAAGATCAATACTATTTTGTAAACTTTATTTAAAAACAGGAAAATGCGTTTCCAGTAAAATTTCCAGCGGATTTAAATTACAATTTACTCCTGCTAACTTGGTATAAAAGGGCAATCAATAAATCCAAGAATTGGAGCCGTCAGAAAGGGCTTGTGTTACGGGGACATATACAAGTCCCCGTAACGCGGCAAGTCCCCGTAGCACGGGGATATACCGACAGAATGTCCGCGTAGCACTAGTTTTACATAAATATATATATATATATATATATATATACATATATTAGCAAAGAAAATATTTAAACAAAGTTACGCTATTAAGGTGACAAGAAACTAATGAATCCAAATCATTCTTACTTGTATATAAGCATGCACTCATGTTCCATGTTTTGCCCTCATGATCCTTCAAAGAACATGTCCATTTGCTTTCTATATCTCCGGGATCGGGTACGGCGGATATGGCGTAGCCTACTGTCGTTTCTATTTCTTTTGACTGATTGCCCAGCTGATGAAACCACGTTAGATTCACTGGGCTGACGGTGTTCTTAGCCTCGCAGGTTAAGTTTGAAACGAATACCGAGTTCTAGGATAGGTGAAGCAAGAATTTGAGGGATTTTTAAAACTGTTTTTTGGATGACATTCTCCAAGAAAACCTTCAGTCAGTTTGGTACAATATTGTCCAACAAAGAACCTCTTGAAAACGGCTACTATTAAAACCTCCTCGTATTCGACATGTTAGGGGAAATAGCTGAGAAGTTCAGACCAAGCTTCTTTTTATCCTCATATACCCATTCCTGTGTTTCTTTCTTTTTTTTTCTTTCTTTTTTCAAACCAAATTAGTCGATTTCTCGATAAACACGAGCGCTAAGACTTCCAACAACTCGGCTTAAGGTAATTTCAATATCCTTGTCCATTTCTTTTTGTTAAGTGTGCAAACAGAATACAATGACGTATTACGGAGTCTGAACATACTTTAGGTTCAGTTCTCGTAAATAGATGTGATCACGATTACATTCTATGAGTCTAAAACATCGCTGATTATGTGAACGATTATAATCAACTACATATTGAGCCTTGGCAGTTTCTTTTGCAATGCAATCACATGAAGAGAAATCGGCTTTACCGTAGACAGATTTGAAGACACATCAATGAGGCAGCAGTCATCAGGTTGTGAATCAACTTGGGCAGTGCAGTTCAAAATATCCATGCGAGGATCTGTCCAATTTTTAAATAGAGCAGGAGAAAAGGACCTACTTAGAATCATCAGGTCATCGCGTCTGGTCGAGTGGTCGCGTTATCTCACAAGATTTACCCCCAACATTCATGAATAAAGGGGCATGTTTCACACAGGGTCGGGTAATGCGATCATCCGACCGGAAGCGAAAACCACATGATTCGAAGTCGGAGAAAGCGGCATGCATCCAGTAGGCCATTTTCGTAATATATATTTTTTTTAAATACCTAAAGGTTCTATGTCCCATTTGCACGCCAAGAAATGAAAAGTTTAAATTGCAACGGCATTTGAAAGATAATACTAGTTTAGAACTTCCCTCTAAACGAAAAGGTTTGAGAATATTTTTTTTGTGGGAAAATTAACGACCGTAATATGTCGAATCGAATTTAGGGATTGCAGTCCTTTTATTATTAAAATGGTCGGAATTTCAAACCCTTGAACCGAATGGTCGTACGTTTTGTACTGCGCAAAGATTCAATTAGTTTAATTTTGGCCATTACAAGAAGTGGGTTATTGATGTAGACAAATGCTCATGTACCCTTGTCAGCTCATGCTATGTATGTTATTACCAAAGAAAAACAGAGGTCATTCACTCAATAGTGTCTGACAATGGACCCTACTACAGATGGACTGATGATGAGAGTCTTTCTTTGATCACATCACGACCGCTGCCACCTGATAATGTGTATGTTGATAAGGACAATAATTTGACGCGACAATGTTGATTATGTAATCACGCATCACATCACGACCGCCGCCACCTGATAATATGTATGTTGATAAGGACAATAATTTGACGCGACAATGTTAATTATGTATTCACGCATCATCACAGACAAACGAACCTTTTACATTACTTCAGATTCTTTTCGCTGGGCCAGGGCCCAGAATGCAGTTTTAGAAAAAGTATTGCGATTTAAGACCAGTTAGAGGAGCAGCAAACCCCAGGTTATGACAATTTGTGTGATATGAGATTGATTATTAAAGAAGTGGACACTGGTGGACATACATCTGAACATCTGAACAAATTTTGAAAAATACATATTATTTACTGTCCTATTACCTTCTATTCCTTGGAAACGGATAGGATAAGTTTTAAAATGAACTTTAAAATCATCGTGTTACAGCCACATTTACAGGTTTCTCTTGTAAACTACTTATAATTTCCTATTGAAAACTTCATACACGTCAATATTTATGTGTACGCCACAACTGCACACGCATTTCCGTGGTTTTAAGCGAATCAGTTTCTTTTGAGCATGCATTTTGTAGATTCTTCAAGGCACAGTTTTGGTTCTCTAATGGCTGACTGGCGGCGGTCGTGATGAGATCAAGGCGTGGAAGCATGTTTAGAATGTTATTATGATACTTGTTTCCAGAGTCAGGTGCATGAATGTATTATGGTACCGATCAGTGCCCATTTGTAGTAGGTCATAATTTGAATACTAGGACAGTCCTAACGTTTAAATTTCACAGTTAGGACATACGTGACATTTTCATAATTCCTGCAAAGATCTACATAATTTAATGTTGGCTGCAAAAGGCATACAATATCTTTAAGTGCTTCCATGTGAATGATTTGAGTGAAAACGGACCATTATTCGTGGTGCACTGCCTAACAATACGAGCGCTTACCAGTGCATTTTGTAACTATTACATTTTTTTCCCTTGCCCCTTTTTTGATGTACTGCTCATTAAAATATCTGAGAAATCATACAAAATATATCATCATTTTAAGGACGAATAAGCATAACTTATGATAATATTAAAGAAAGGATCATTATCCCATGACAAAAAAGAGTGTTATCAGTCAATTTTGAGTTTTCAAACTCTGTGAGGGGTTTATATTTAAAAGTTTGTACCAAACTCATTAAAATGACTCGGTAACATTGTTGAAGGTTGATAAAAAAAATATATATATATTTTGTGTATAAAATGTTACTTACTACATTCCTTCTACTGTAATAACCCTCTGTCATGCAAAAAATCCTGAACATGTTTTCAAACCACGAACATAAATATGGTGTTCTTTGAAGGCGTCAATGTATGACACCCTCTAACAGGGATTAACAGTAAATTCTCCCAACCATTTTTGAATTTTCCCAGCCGTTTTTCCATGAAAAAAGACATAAAACAGGCTATACAAAATCTGTCAACACTTTAATATCTGGAATGGAATCTACAGCCATCTTATTGCTTTGGAATCAATCAGATAAGTTTTTCCCAAATGTACCATAAATAATGGTCCGTTTTCACTCAAATTTTCAGATTATCTTTAATTGTACATCTTGCATTGAAATCACTACCTTAGCACCATTATCTTTCATCTGAACGATGTTACAAAGTCCCTTTAATGTGTTCAGTGCATAAGACCTCCAAAGAACATTAGGTCAACATCTATTTAATTCATCTTTGGAAACTGTCACATTATAAATCAGTTCGTACATAACACATACGACATAATGAACGTCTCCTCAATTGCCTCTAAATGGTTTCATCTACAACTACAATGTAATCGCAGGACAAAACCTCAACTTCAAGCTGTAATCTAATCCAAGCTGAAGCATCAGAAGAATATCCTAATAATTTGCAAATAACTTACGCAATCTCTTCAAAATAAAAGTTGACTCGATAGTCAGGTAAGGATGTCCTGCAATCCATTGGACGGCCCGACATGTGATATGTTCCTCGTGCGTAACACGGGAACCATTGAGTTTGACTGAGCTAGAAGGACCGTGAGGCATTGAAGTGGACGCAAAAGTTTGGTTGTGATCCTCCGATGTGATCCATCGTAACTCCACAGGAGAGGACACGTTGCCAACAACAGCACACTCTACGTCAGTTTCCTCACCGTGGAGCAGTTGGATGATTTCACCATTGTTTATCACGGTGCCTGCATTATTCTTGCGCAAAACGATCTCCAGGAGCGGTACTAAGAATTAAGATGAACACGTGATAGACAAAGGCAAGGTAGGAATGTGATATACAGTGATAAACAATAATGTAGTAGGAAGAGAGGCTGAGAGAGGCAGAGAGAATGCAAAAGAAAGACTGTTTTTTACTTGCACTGGAATAGTTTAATGTTAATTGATACATACACCATTTCTGCACTTCATGGCACTCCTTGTAGTTACTCGCCTCACCTACCATAACACGAGACCCTCCTGACTGAGCTACCAAAGCAAAGGGATAACTCACCAAGTACCAAGCCGGGGAGTACATCAGTCAAACACAAACAATAGAGGGAGAGAGAGAGAGAGGGGGGGGGGGGGAAGAGTGTTATGTATGGCAAGCCACACTGTCCAATAATTGAGAAAAACTCAGGTTATTGCTGATAAATCAGGTATTTTGTTTTCCTCTTAATCGGGGAATATTGTACATGACCCGGAAAGCCTGCCATAGTACCTTGTATGTTTTTCTTCTCACTAACTAAATGCGTGCAATTTCAGGATAAATTGTGGGGCCATTAAACATAACTTAGTTTTTATGGCAGGATCGTCAAGTGCGCGGGGCAAGATCATCATATATTTACCATGCACAATGCCTGAGCCCCGTTGCATGAATTTTACTTACCTCTGATGGTAAATTTGCCATCAGTATTAACTACCATGGGAACTTCACTCAACAGCCGAACAAATCAATGTTACCATGGAAGTTACCATTAATTGCAAGGTTTTATGCAACGTGGCCT